AAGAGGCTACTTGTGATTTTTAAGTTAAAAAAAAAAAAGAAATCTCAAACCCAATGCTGTCATCATGGGAGGGGAACACTTGGTGAGGTGGGAGTCCCTTCACTTTTGGAAGAAAGGAAAGATTAATTCCCTCATTGAGCTGTTATGATCTGTAACCAAGTAAGTGTTTAAATCTTCTTCCCTTCCTTCTTTAAGTTTTTTTTTCACACTATGGAAGTTCTGGAATGCAAGGATTTATAGGTAAGTCCTGATTTCAGGCTTCCTCATCCATCAAGGTAATGATCAGTGTTCTGGTGCCACTCAGCGTCTTACAACATGCAGGAATGAGGACTTTTTTTGGATCATTATTCATTGTTAATTAATAACCTTTTATGTTCCACAGTACTACAAAAGATTGCCATTATAGAATTTAGTTAAATATTTCCCTTCAAAGAGAGAAAATAATGACCTTTACCAAAGATACATAAGATAAATGCTCAGGCATGTCTTCCTAATTTTCTGAAAGATGGATGCATTCATTCATAAAAGTCTGCCTTTTTTCTTATTACCTGAAATACAATATTTTCAAAAGCTTGTTTTCTAGTTACATATCTTCAGGCATTATTCTTTCTTCCTGGGTAATCTCATTCAGGATTAACATACTCACTTTTGTTTCAGTCAGTCACCTTCACAAATGCTTTAGTAAGGGACTCCCACCATGTCATGAAACCATGGGACTCACTATGTAGTGTGATCCTGTGTGTAATAACATTTCAAGATCATCATCACATTAAATCTTTTCCAGAGACTCTGTAAAGGGAGTTTTGTTCCACTTTAATGAAGCTTGTTAAGTGGATGGTTAGTGTAAATCAGGTGTGACTTACAACAGCACTTCATATGTTTACTGCAACACCCATGTAGTCACAAAGCACATTATAGTAGCTTACACAAAAAAAAAAAAAACCAGTATAGGTGACATAGAACAGGAGCAAGTGAGGAAAAAGTAATGGCCACTCAATGGTCAGATATGGATTTCCCTTTTTACTCTCATGGTGTTTCTTTGAACAGTCACAACATTCCATTTTACTCTCAAAAATCTGCTTGAAATGACGAATTTAATTGTGGAATTTGGCTTGAGTTTCTGATGTACAATTTTGTCCTTGCTTAAGATGAGAACCTCAGTACAAAAGTTATAAATCATGGACCTATAGTTATATCATCAAGAATCAGAATTGTACCAGTTCCTATTCTCTGCAGCCATCTAAAAACTGGGTGTGATGATGCACACCTGAAACCCCAGCATCAGTAGGTGGAGCATGGTGACGGGGTGTTCTGAGGGCTTGATGGCCATTGAATCATAACACCAAGCTCTAGTCAGTGAAAGACCCTGTCTCAAAAAACCAATGAAATTGATCCTTGGTCTTCATATGTACACACACAGGCCACATACAAACACACCACATCCCCTCCTATCCTCCGCTCCCCAACACACACACACACACACACACACACACACACACACACACACACGAATTTTAAAATCAGGCTTTTACAATTCTGGTTCAGTTACTTTGAATAGACCTTTTTAAAATCTTTCTGAAAAAGTGCTTTAATTTTGAGTTCTGTCTTTTAGGAAATTACATCCACTTATCCACTTTAATGCTGAGTTTTCCTAAGTTGTTACTTGACTTACCATTTTTTATATATGTTTGTAATTCTTATGAGCTGGTCCAGTGGTGAGTATAGAATCGGTGAGAAGCTTTAGGGTTTTATGTGTTTATTTTTAAATTACACTTGGATTTGTAAAGGAAAATGTTACAAAATGATGACAATCAGCATCTCTGTTTGCAAATAGTGCTATTTTCCTAAGGCATTTATCATGGGCTTTCTTCTGTTTGAGTTGTAATCTTAGCACGAATCTTGTATATGCTGCTTTAGAATTTGCTGCATGGTGGCTTATGCTTTTTCTTGCACATCAGTAATATTAGTCATTAGTGTTATTTATATTGCACAGTGTCGGAATGTGAGCTGTATGTGATACTATATGCACTTAAGCCCGTGTCCCCAGTCTTATTATTGCTTGCTATATTTCTCAACAAAATTCAGTTATTTCTATAGGGAATAAAGGGTTTCCTAAAGACCTTGCCTTGGGTGGAGATGTAAATAACATTTCTAGACCCTTCCACACTACAAAGGGCTAGGATAATTAACATTTAAAGTAAACCTGCTCTCCTTAAATTCTTATTTTTTCTCATTACTTCACTTTTTCTTTCTGGCAGCATCAGCATTCCATCATATCCAAAGCAAATCATATCTTTATTTTTAACAGGGATTTTGGAAGAGAGAGATATCTGAGATCACCAATAATATGTATAATTCAATAACCATTACACATTAAGTACTCTATAGAGAATCACTCTAAAAGTTTTCAATAGTATTTTTCCATTTTATCATGGTTTTCAATGATTCTCTGATCCCCATTGCATCCTACATTTTCATGGTTCATATTATTCATTTCATTTCAACTTTTTCTATATGTATTTGCTGATATTATTTCCCTAAAATACATCTATACACATACATGGCAGTTTTGCTGTTTGCCCTTTTTGCTTACTGAGACTAAATCAAGTTGTCCTGAAAACTCCAATGATGCTTATGAATGAAGATGGCTTTTCCAAAACTCTGGAACAACCAGTGACCATGACCTCTTCTCTACAGTGCTGCATATACCCATACTGAATTCAATCCCAGATGATGTTCCATGAGAAACAGTAAATTTTTTTAAGAATAAACAGGAAGAAGATTAACTTTCTTCTAACAAGAACCCTAAAATATTCGTGATTCAGTTACTTCAATGCAATAAAAATTTATTATAGACTTCACACAATAGCAAAAATAAATTACATTAATATTTTAATAATTTATTAAGTAAAATGAACACTCTAAATGTATCTTAAGTGCTCTGTGTATGGATGTAGGGATTTCAGATATGTATGTGTTTCAGATACTTTTACACTAATTTCTATTCATACTTTTTTCCTTTTTTCATGTTGCTATGTAAACTTTCAAGAATAGTGATGTTCTCATGTGGCTGTCCTCAGGAAATTCCATTTTCTTCCATTCACTTTTCACTCAACTTACTATTATCAAATTTTTCCCCTTACCAATGGACAATGATTGCTTGCCAGCACTATGTAGATGTTTAGGCATTCAGACTGCCTCTCTCCTTGCTCAAGAATCAAATGCCTCACAAAGTGAAGAGTATCTTAATATTTTCTAGTAGGTGTGGAATCTGGGGACAGAAGATGAACGCTGTGGCTCTGGAGTTCATTGTTCCAAAGTCCTGGATAAGATTCCAGGATGAAAGTAATCACTTCTGAGGCTTCAGAAATTTGGTATCAAAACCAGTAGGTAACACCACAATTATGTTACAGAGCTGCAGTAGTAACTATGATAGGCAAGATGTCTTCCTGGAACACATAGTCCAGCTCTGTCCACATTGAAATTTCCAACCTGTCATTCAGAGATGCATCCACTGAGCAAAGACGTAAGTTCCAGTTCTTCCATAAACACTTTACTAGACTAGACTTAGATTAAAAATTGCAGTCTTTATTTTTGGGATCTCAAAGTTTTTAGATGCTGGACTGAGTCTCACCATAGCACCATATATGGATGGTGAGGGTATTAACTTATCATTTCCAAGATTTTAAAGGAGAAATTTTTTATACAGAAATCATTTATTGTAAGAAATGAACAGACAAAATGAACACAAGAGTTAGACACTATAGCAATGATCACTGGATAAATTCTACATAATTTTCATCACATGAAGATGGGTAAGAAAAATGCAACGTGAAACATGGTCTGCTCCTGTCTGAGTTTCAAGAACATTGAATGAAAGCATTTCAACAGCCTTCTTATCACACTTACCAAGAGGTATGTTTGAGCTCTCAGCATATTCAGTTGCCTATTTTTGTTCAAATTAAACAAAGCAGATTATGACATGGAGACTGATTGACAGTACAAGGGGATGTATGTAACAAAAGAGTGCATTCTACATGTTCTCTGTAGAACATGCTTTCCTTATTTAGCATTATCCAACTATGTACTAATATCTACTGGGAACATTGAGCCATGCTAAACATGCTTACCCTGATTTCTTTGGTAAATAAAACATTTGCAAACATTAAGTTTCCAAGAAGTCCAGACTTTTTGTTTTAATGCAATAACCTTTCAGAATTTAATATACAATGATTATTAACATTGTAAAATATTTTATATTTATTTATATAGCATGTAATTCCACTAAAACCTAAAACCCACAAAATGCACCACAGCTGCTAAATACTAGGGAATTTAACAATCTAATAATAGTGAAAAGTTTCACTATAAGTTCATTTTTATGCAAATGAACCTTCTCATATGAGTAAATGTCCCAAACACTATACACACAAAACATGTATACATCTATCTATGTTTATATACAAATATATGTATGTGTGTATGAAATTAGAATAAGGTAAATACTACACAAGTTTACTATGAATTATGAAATAATTTATAGTTCAAGTTAGAGGGGAGAGACCTGAAGTTCAACTTTGATGAATATTTAGTATGGTCAGAGTCCAGCCATCTCTTTCAAAGGCTGTCATTGAGTGTCACTGAGGAATTAAAGCACTCTTAAAGGAAAGAAAAGAAACAATTTTCCAGGTTAGATTTTCATTCTGTATTAATTCTGAACAAAGAATTATGGGAATTAGATAAACCATGTCACTCTTTTATTTGGAACTCTGTCTTCTTACCTCATCCATTACTTCTGCATGTTAAGGTTTTACTTTTTTCTTATTCATTCTTGAGAGGAAATAAATCTTTTGTATGAAGTCTGTGTTAGTATTATGATGTTTTATAGCACACAAATGACCTTGAAATAACTCCCATTGTTATTTCTAAAAAAATTATCAAAAACTATGACAGTATTTCAACCTCTACATTCATATTTTCATGTTTAGGAAAATCCAAAACAAGCTTCCTGGACCATGGGAAATCAAACATTGCTGGATGAATTTGTTCTATTGGGAATACCTCAGACACAAGGACTGGAGACTCTACTCTTTGTTGTGTTCTTATTCATCTATTTCTTCACCTTGCTTGGAAATTTACTCATTTTTACAGCAATTGTTTCTTCATCTACCCTTCACACTCCCATGTATTTCTTCTTGGGACTTCTATCCATTTTTGACATGCTATTCCCATCAGTAACCTGTCCCAAGATGCTACTTTATCTCTCTGGTCAGAGTCCAGTCATCTCTTACAAAGGCTGTGTTGCCCAGCTCTTCTTCTATCACTTTCTGGGTTGTACTGAAGGTTGCCTCTATTCTGTGATGGCTTATGATCGCTATGTTGCCATCTGTCACCCACTGAGATACATGCTCATCATGAAACCTGCAGTGTGCCTGAGTTTGGTCACAGTATCCTGGTTGGTTGGTGGTCTTCAGTCCAGCATTCTGACATCCTTTACTTTTCAATTAACTTACTGTGGGCCCAATCATGTCCATCATTACTTCTGTGACATTCCTGCAGTTTTGCCTTTGGCTTGCACAGATAACAGACTGGCTCAGAAGGTGGGTTCCATTAATGTTGGCTTTCTGGCTCTGATGCTTCTCTTCAGTGTGTGTGTCTCTTATGCACACATTGGGATTGCTATTCTGAGAATCCGTTCAGCAGAGGGCAGGCAGAAAGCATTCTCCACATGCAGTGCCCACCTCACTGCCATCCTCTGTGCCTATGGACCTGTCATCATCATCTACCTGCAGCGCACACCAAACCCCTTGCTTGGTGCTGTGGTTCAAATATTAAATAATATCGTCTCACCCATGCTGAACTCTTTAATCTATTCACTGAGGAACAAGGAAGTGAAGAGGTCTTTAAGAAGGGTGTTTCACAGTTTAGCTTAGGTGTTTAGGAATTAAATATGGAGTTCATAATTAATTTTTTAAAATTATTTTGTTACCATCAATCTCCTGTTTCATTCTTTTAAACAAACAAACCCATAAGAGAAATCACTTATTTATAGCATTTTCTATTTTTTTGTCTCTATCATCCCAAATGTTTAAAATTAATTCTATAGCTATTCTTATTTGTCATTCTTTTCTGGGCAAGTAATCTGTAGCCTCATAAAATGGCAAAAGATATTTCTCTTTTCTTCATAAAGAACTTTCAAGCTTTGTAATTAAAGAAAGAAAAGAACTTTGACCCTTCTTTTATCTCTCTATGTGTCAAGTCTGGCCCCACTTCAACTTCTGTTGTGCTTGGCATGCACTTCTGCTTCATACTTTTTAGCCTTTTCCAGTCACATTTTATAGATTCTTAAATCATACTTTTAGAGCACTAATTGTTCTTCAGACACTGAGGTGATATTTTCATGTATAACACCTTACTTGATTTTCATTTGATGATCATAAAGTAAAGTTTCCACATCCCTAAAAGTACATTAAGGATAAGGTCCTACAGATACCAAAGTCGCTTACTTTATCACTCACAATTACAGCTTTAGTTAAAAGAAAGTTGACAGCACAATGCTTGATGTTTGATGACAAGTACTTAACCTATCGAGTCTTTTCTTTGACCTTCACACTTTCACCCACTCAAGTAAATTTAAAAATAAGTAAATAAAGTTAGGATTTAAACACACACACACACACACCCCTTTTAAGTCCTTAGAAATAAAGTTTTCTTAAATAACTTGCCTGCCAATGTGTCACTCATTGGTAGCTCTAAAGACCTTTATGACAGAAAAGAGTAGGCCAAAAAATTACTGGGAATGACCATAGACACAGGTCTTTTTAATGCATTGACTCTATCATCACCAGTCATTCTGCTCTACTTTTGACTCCATTTGTAGGTGGGGTAAAATCTTTTTCTCTGTGCCATATTCAGATAAAATCATGACTGGCCCAAGTCCTTTTGTAGACTTCTTAGCCATGATTTTATCCCTGCACTATGCTGCCAGTGCATTAAATTACTATCAGCCTAAACCATTGGACAGGTTTATCACCCAGTGATATGGAATAGATCCTACTTGTTGAGTTATTATGCTTATTAATTAATTTTCTCTCCAAACAACATTTTACTAACTAGGCCTCTATGTACTCTCAAGATGAGGAATATTTCTCATTTTGAAAAAGTAGAGTCTGAGGGGAAAACAAGGATACTTGTGGTATTTCGAATGAGAGTGAGCTCGATATTAGCTCATCTATTTAAGCTTTGTCCTTGCTTGGGAGTACTGTTTTTGAAGGATTAGGAAGTATGGTCCTGCTGCAGGAAGTCTCTCACTAGGTCCTGGGTTTTGAGGTGTAGTTCCTAGTGCTCACTCCTGACTCATGGGTTAGGTCAAGGTGGGAGCTCACAGCTGTTCCTTACCTTATCCATCATGGACTCTAATCTTCTGAAACCATAAGCCAAATAAAACATTTTCTTTGACAAGTTCCTTTGATCATTGCTTTTTATACCAGCAATAGAAAAAAAAACTATGAAATTTCTATTTACTGAGGATTTCAATCCAATCCATGCCAGATTTTAACGTTCATGACATCACTTATGGGATTTGTTTCCATTTTTATTTTCCCAAATCTCCAAACTTTTTCAACCATAATATAAAACAAGACAAATCAAAAAAATAGACTCAGTATCAAATGTGAGAAAAATTTTCCCTTAAATGAAGAGGACAATGAAACCCATCCAGATGCAACCTAATGATTATACATCTCTCCTAGAATGCATACTACTAGAATGTTACTCACAATCATCTAAACCACAAAAAAATCTTAGTTCTGCATTTTTATTTATATATCATACACTACATTTGTTGTTTTTGTGGTTGGATTCTGGTGGGAAAACCCACCGTACCATCTCATCTGGAAAAGTTGAGACGTTCAAACATACTTTTATAGACAGTGGGATGCCCAAAGGACATGTCCAATTAAGAGTTCATTGAGTTACTTGATACCATTTAACAACCCAAACTGTGATAAAAGAGCATTATTATCATCACAGAAGAGAAGCATTCTGAAATATTAAATTCCAGATAGAAAACACCAATATGCATATATATATATATATATATATATATATATATATATATGAATACATGTCTTCTATTTCCCCTTCTACTTTCCAGGGAGATCTAAGTGGTACCCCTTGAGTCCTAACTATTACTTAACCTCACCAGGTCTGTAAATTATAGAATAGTTATCCTTTATTTGATAGCTCATATCCACTTATGCATTAGTACATACCTTGTTTGTCTTTCTGGATCTGGGTTACCTCACTTCAGAAGTTTTTTTCTAGTTCTCTCACTGTGCTTTCAAATTTCATGAAGTCATTGTTTTTAACAGCAGTACCACACTTTGTATACCCATTCTTTGGCTGAGAGACATCTGGGTTGTTTCAAGTTTCTGGCTATTATGTATAAAGCTCAACTATTGTGAACAGAACTGAGCAAGTGTCGTTGTGATGTGATTGAACATCCTTTGGGTATATATCCAAGAGTAGGATCGCTGAGTCTTGACGTATATTGGTTCCTAATTTTCTAGAAACTGCCATAGTGATTTCCAAAGTGATTGTACAAGCTTATTCTCCTACCTGCAATGGAGGAGTGTTCCCCTTGCCCCACATCCTCTCCAGCATAAGCTGTCACTTGTGTTTTTGATTTTAGCCATTCTGACAGGTGTCAGATGGAATCTGAGAGTTATTGTGAATCTCTGATGGCTAAGGATGTTGAACATTTCTTTAAGTGTTTCACAACCATTTGAGATTCTTCTGTTGAGAATTAGCTATTTAGATCTATACCCCATTTTTAGATTAGATTATTTGGTTTGTTGATTTCTAGGTTTTTTTTTGAGTTCTTCACATATTTTAGAGATTAGCCCTGTGCCTGATGTGGAGTTTGTTAAAATCATTTCCCATTCTGTATGTAGCCATTTTGTCCTATTGACTGTGACTGTCCTTTGCCTTACTGAAGCTTTTCAGCTTCATGAGGTTCCAATTATGATTTGTCTTCTTGTTTTGTTTTGTTTTTAGAGACAAGATTTCTTTGTAGCTTTGGATCCTATCCTGGAACTAGCTTGTGTAGACCAGGCTGGCCTTAAACTCACAGAAATCCACATTCCTTTGTCTCCCAAGTGCTGGGATTAAGGTGTGCACCACCACTGCCCGGATCCCAATTATTATTTGTTAATCTTAGTGTCTGCACTATAAGTATTCTAGTCAGGAAGCTGTCTCCTTTGTCGATGAGTTCAAGGCTACTTCTAACACTCTCTTCTATCAAGTTTATCATATCTGGATTTATGTTGAGGTCATTGATTCAACTGGACTTGAGTTTTCTGTAGGGTGATATATATGGATCTGTTTGCATTCATTTACATCCAGTTAGACCAGCATATGCTGAGGATGCTTTCTTTTTTCCCTTGTATACTTTGGCTTCTTTGTTGAAAATCAGGTGTCTATAGGTATGTGGATTTATACCTAGGTCTTTATTTGATTACATTAATCCACCTATCTGTTTTTATACCGATACCATGGAGTTTTTATAACTATAACTCTGTAGTAGATCTTGAAATCATGAATGGTGATACCTTCAGAAGTCTTTTTATTATACAGTATTGTTTTAACTATCCTGGGCATTTTGATTTTCTGTGTGAAGTTGAGTATTGTTCTTTCAAGGTCTATAAAGAATTGTGTTAGAATTTTAATGGGGATTGCATTGAATGTATAGATTGATTTTGGTAAGATGGTCATTTTACTATGTTAATCCTACCTATTCATGAACATGGGAGATTTTTCCATTTTCTAATAGGTCCTCCAATTTCTTTCTTTAAAGACTTGAAATTCTTGTTATACAGGATTTTCTGAGTGGGCTAGAGGGAGGTGGGAGTCAGAACATGTGGGATCAGGTGGGAATGTGTAGGGGGGAAACCCAGAAGGAGACAACAGAAAAAGAGTGATTTTCAGGGTCAGGTAGAACCCTGGTGCAAGGCAAACTCCCAGAAATTTGCAAGGATTACCACAGATAAGACTCCCTGCAATAGGGAAGAAGTAGCTTCAACTGACCATCTTCTGTGACCAGGCAAAACTTCCAGTAAAAGGCTTAGGGAACCAACCCAGCCACATAACCGCTGACCTATAGTCTGTCCTGCCTATGGGATGTGCTGAGATCAGTGTCTAGCCCAACTGTCAACAGAGAGTCTTCATAAAATGACCAATGGAAACAGATGCAGATATCTATAGCCAATCATTCAGCCAAACTTGGTAATCCTGCTAGAAAGAGGATGAAAGGATTCCAGGAGTCAGCTATGTCAAGGAAATCACAAGACTATCCAGAGAATCAACTAACCTGGGCTCCCAGGACCCCACAGAGACTGAACTTACAACCAAGGAGCTTGCAAAGGGCTGACCTAGGCTTCCTTCAAAAACGGTACAGCTGTGTAGCTTTGTATTCTTGTGGTACTCCTAATAGTGGGAGCAGGAGCTATCTCTGACTCTTTTGTTGGCTTTTGGGACCCTACTTCTCATAGTGAGTTGCATTGCCAGTCTTAACGCTTGGGGAGGTGTATGCTGCACTTTAGTCTTACTGCAAATCAACATGTCACGTTTTGTTGATGTCCATGGGAGGAGGAGTGGGTGGGGGGTGCAGAGTACAGGAGGAGGGGCAGGTCTTGGAAGGACAGGAGGGAGGGGAAAATGTGTTTGGGATGGAAAATATATAATAAATAAATAAATATAGAAAATAATTGGATGTATGAAATCTGAAATATTTATCATTATTTTGTTAACCCCTTCTAAATATGTATTGATTTGAATCTGAGAAAATAAAACTTAGAACACATTAAAAATTTCTTATGCATAAAAACGTGTTAGTTAGAAACATACATATTCATAAATTAGTATTTAAGTTTTTCCTTTTCAGAAATAAAAGAAAAAAATAAGAAAAAGTAAATAATTTGACAAAAATTCAACCTGAGTCATAAATGTCATTTTTTATAGCAGGTAGAAAGAGTAAAACATAAAGACAATCTACATTTCACTTTTATATCCATATAAATGATTTCTTATACAGAGGTATGTTTGAAATAGTGTTCTCATAAATGATCAGTTGTGTAACTGATACAGGGAACTTCCACTACTATCCCTAACTGTTCTCCTTTAATTGCTTTATACCTTGTAATATTTTATAAGCTTTTTTCAAGTAGAAAAAATAGATACATAAGAATGGGACCTGGTAAGGCTGATTCCTAAAGCTAAATATTTGAGAAAAAAATGAGAGCAATTTCCTAGAGAGAGAAATTTGCCCATGCCATACAGATCTATGTTGTGGCATTATAATCCTGTTTTATGATACATTTCTCCAAACTCATTTGTGATGAAATGTTCTGATCCCACTGAAAGGTGATGAGTTATTCTCATTTCATGACTGACCTATTCTACTGACTCACACTCCCTGAGTACACACACGGAATGTTTGTTGAGGATCTGGGGGAAATGGTCACTACTAATGAGAACTGAAATATGATTTTCAGAGTGCATTCAATCACAGGATGCTAAAAAACATTATAATCAGATTTCTCTGACCTCTCCTTTTTATTTCTTTTTTCCTGACCAAGTCTCTTTAAATTTCCTAGTTTGATATGATTATTTGCCCACGAATATCATTCTGCTCATCATAACTGCTGTTTCCACAGTAACTACAGCTCTAGTCTAATACTAAAACTCAATGGTGATCGAACTATGGTAAATACGGTTAACTTCATAATAGACCACTGGTATTTTGTGTAATCAGATTCTCTGGTGACTCCTAAACTTTGTTGCACACAGATGTCACAGTCACTTACCTCTTCATACATGCATCCAGGTGCCACATGTACATCTATATGCATTTACATACATAATAAATAAGTAAAATTTCAGATATTATTGAGAACATAGAATATTGTTCCAGGCAAACATGAGATACCCAGGAAGTGTCATGTTAGGGGTCCCAAAACATTACCCGAACCCCACTCAAACAACTATTTTCAGTTTGCATAAAACTCCAGGTTCTGCCTGCTTTGACTGTAGTCTTCCCATCTGCCAGGGTATTCGGCTGCTGTATTCCTCCCAGGAATTTTTTCTTACCTGTAATTTTTAACTACAGGTGTGATGGAGAGGTTGTTTTATTAGTTCTTCTTACAGTATTTGTTAATAGTAAAAATACTAAATCATTGACAAAGCCTAAGAGTGACCCACAGACAAAATTATGCTCTGAGCAATTTGTTTCCTGAGCTGTTTAATTAGTCTATGTTTATTTCTTTTGGGATAAATTTAGGGTGTATACATCTTTGAAAAAAAAGAGTAATTCCTGGAACATCATTGTTAATTAATATTTTGAATTAGCACTGTTGTCATTTAATGACAAAATTCAATAATATATGGAATATTTCTTCAATATCCACCAGGTGAAGACATTTGCTAAGTGCTTAATATTTTCAGATCATCACTGATTTAATAACATAACTGGGAATGATTGGGATTACATAAAAATCTCCCAAATGGCATTTTTGATTCTGTGAGACATCATCATTACAAATACTGCTCAATAACTTAATGGGTACCACCAAATTTTTATGGTATCCACATAAAAACGATATTGTTTCTCAGAACAGATAGGGAAATTTAAGCCCAAGAAGGTGAAGGAACAGACCAAAGACACCAATATTGAATAAGACTGTGGAACTCCAAACACCAGTTTTCCATTTTACTATCTCTAAGTCTCATGGAGGAGAGCTCAACACCCCAGAGAAATGCACACTCCCTGGGAGAATACATGGGAGAGTTAAATGGAGCCTTCTCAAACATTATTTGAAGGTAACAAAGTGTGACTAAGAAACCATAAGTTGGTTGGTTTCACTCCTATGCCAGTGAATAAGAATACATTCAGAACTTCAGAACTGTGTGTTTACATACCATGGGAGGACAAAATATGGTTCACTTCACAGAGGACACTTAAATGTTGTACAGCATCTTAACTCAGTGAAGAACTATTAGTGAGAAATGTAACTCAATGTAGTCCAAAAAGATAACTAAAGGCCAATGTGCCTATCCAATGAGTTGATGGAGATGACTAAGAGTAGGATACACGAACAGTCACTTACATGAGAGTGGACGATTTAGAAGCAACTGCATCATAGGAAAACCAATCCCAGCATGAATAAAGAGACATGAAAGCTGCATCCTGGAGCTCCTAGGGGGACTCAGAAGCATCTAGCTCTGCTGGTCTGAGAGTCTCTTCTCACCACTGGTTGTTTATTTATTAATGTAGACTCAGGTAAGGGTAGCATAATTCCTATGCATTTCAACTTTCATGAAAAAAATGAATTTGAAGTTTTATTTGCTTTCACTTGAAGTAACATTATAAAACTGAGAAGACAACATAGAAATCATGTATGCTGAGGCTTTAGCTAGGCATCTTTCTGCTGGCTTCCTCATCTCTGATAGCTAAAATTAAATAAACTTCATTATTTACTGGGGGACTTGAAAGAATAAGAGGTTAGCCTTATAGAAAATAAAGATTGATGATAAATGAAATAAAAATTTTACCCTGCTTCCTCTCAGCAGCGTCTCAGCTAATGCTCCTATTCTATTGGCATAACATCACACAGCAGTTTGTTGTCAGGCAACCACAGGGAAGATTCTTGAAGCAGTCAGCAAGCCTTAACAAGGTTCTACAAATGAAACTTTTCTATTTATTTCTTGGTATTTTGAAGCATAGTGATTAGATAAAGGTAAATGCCTTTTAGATGTTATGATAAAAAGAGAAGAAACACATTATCCCTTGGAAAGTTTACAAAGACTATTTGAATTAGACACATAAAATGCATAAATATAGTTCAATTTAATTGCTCTTTTTTGTCTGATTTAAGCAAAGCTTAAAACAACAAAGGAGATTTATTGACCACCCATTGAGAAATAATTCACATCTGTGCCTTTTGAGGGGTAAAATTACAGAACAAATAAGAAAATATGCACAAGAAGCAAGTATGAAATCACGCAAGATTATATGCTTGGAAAAGTTCACCATAAATATAACTTAAATTAGTTTGAATTTATGAATTTCTGATAGAAAATTGAACATATGAAATTCTGTTTAGTCTATTTGAGAGAGTAAGTGTCTCTCTTAATCCTTTGAAGGATTAGATGAGTAACAAATACTGGGAGAGGAGGAGTACTTGGAGAAATCCACAGAACATAAAAATCAACACAGGATTTTCTAAGACACTTTATCACTTATATTTCATTATAAAACATAAGGAAATAGAAAATAAATATGTGTCTTCAAACAACGGAGAACGTGGTAAATTGAGTAAATTGATGTAATGTACATCTCATTATAAAATGCCTTGGAAGCTATAGATGTTAATTTATCTTGAGAAATAAGTTGTTGAGGCAAATCTGGCCTATCAAATTGTGATTCAAACTTTGTTAAGCAAAGATTTAGTCATTTTCATTTATTTTCCAGACTGAGATTTCTCTTAAGAAATATGTTCCTCAGGGCTGATTTCACATCCTTATTCCTCAGGCTGTAGATTAGTGGGTTGAGTGTGGGTGTCACAAGATTGTTCAAAATTTGGATTATTGCACCAAGCAATGGACTGGGATTGGGCTGCAGGTAGATGATGATGACAGGTCCATAAGCACAGATGATAGCAGTGAGGTGGGCACTGCAGGTTGAAAATGCTCTCTGCCTTCCTTCTGTTGAGCGAATTTTTGAGATAGAGATCCCAATTCGAGTGTAGGACACAAGTATTAGGAAGAAGCAAATAAGAGATAAAAGACCAACATTTGTAAAGCCTACCCGCTGTGCTAGAGAGGAGTCCTCACAGGCCAGTAGTAACACAGCAGGCATGTCACAGAAGTAATAATTCACCTCACTGGGTCCACAGTAGGGCAACTGGAAAGTGAGGGAAGTTAAAATAATGGCGTGCACACATCCACTCATCCAGGTCCCTGTGGCCAAGACACAGCACACTCTGTGGTTCATGATGACTGTGTATCTCAGAGGGTAGCATATGGCAACAAAGCGGTCATAGGCCATCACTGTGTACAGGAAACACAACGTACAACCCAGACAATGATAGAAAAAGTGTTGTACAACACAGCCGTGGAAAGAGATTCCTCGACCCTGTCCTGACAGATATGACAACATCTTTGGAGCTGTAGTGGAACAGAAACCCAAGTCAAAGATGGAGAGGTTTCCCAAGAAAAAGTACATGGGAGTGTGGAGTCGCTGGGAGGATATGATTGCAGTAAGGATGAGGAAGTTTCCCAGTAGGGCACAGGCGTACAGTGCTGAGAACAGGAAGAGCAGGACCTTCTCCAGGCCTGCTGTCTCAGGGATGCCCAGAAAGGTGAATTCTGTCACCATAGTGTAGTTTGTCATGTTTATAGAAGATTCAAATCCTGGGAAATTCTGGTAAGAAATTCTTGATAAAAATTTTTTATGTATATGGGTTAGATGATTTTAAATCACCAGGATGGAAGTTAAAAAAACAGTGGTATTTACAGAGATCTGTTCTAGATAGAATTGCCTTTCCCAATGATGGGGTATATTTTGTCAGCTAGGCACCAAATTGCAGATTGTGTTTCTTACAATGTCACTCAAAAGGTAACTCTTAGAGCAATTGTAGATGTTGTCTTAACAATCTCACCCAGAAAGTAGCTTCCAATGCTGGTCCTTTCTCTTCTTGTATTCATATAAATGATCCAATTCCTCCATTCCAGATACTCATGATAATTCCAAAATGACGAAAAGCAGTCTAGAATTGCTCTTGTAAGGATGATAGTGGAAAGGCAGTAGTGGAAGGGGGACAAAAAAAGAAGGGAGTGAGCAAAATCAGGATGCATTATGCATAGTTTTGAAATTTTCCAAGAACATTTTAGTTAATGAAAAGTTATGCTTTCAATCACATTGCACACAGATCTAGGACCAAGAATAATGTGAACCAGAGCCTACAGTATTTATGAAAAATTACAACAAAAAGAATATACTTCATGATTTTAAACTTGAAGTCTGAATATTACTAAATCTGGAAGCTGAATGAATGCACTACATTTTTCTTACACAAAAGTATGAATATTCGCTTATTCTTCTTGTGAAAACTGAGGAATTGTGATTTTATGTGGTATAATTTTAAGGATCATATGAAGAAAAGATTAGAATAGTATAGTGACTGAAGTCTCCATAGGTCTAGCTACTTGTATCATAGCAGAACCTTACCTCATTCTCTTTCTTAGACATATACTATACATCTTATAAGTACACACATGAACACAGACATACACACAGTCAGACAGACACGTGCACAGAGACACTTGCACATACACACACTTTAGTCCAAACCTCACTATTCATGTTGTGTTCAATTGTTAAAAGATATTTGTTAATATATATCACAAGAGGTAAACTAAGTAGGTGAAGTTCAAAATTATCACCTAATAAGTGTGTTATTGTCCTACTGTTTGGAAGGAAATATCATAGTGCAGACAGTGAAGTCACAGATATTTTAAACGGTATAAAGTTTTACTGCTTTTCACCAAGAAGGGTGCATCCAGTATCATAGGTTCATCTCTGACCGTAAGAGTGTATCATTGTCTGTCAACTCCTTTTAACTCTCTGTTCATAATTGTTGAATCATAAGGAGCAACTAAGAAAATCTACCTACAGAAAGGCCTTGTCATTCCATGTGGAACAAAGAAGCTACAGTTGCCACTACCTCAGGCTGCAAAGTCTAACTCTGGAACCATATTTGAGTTAAAGAAAAAGGGTGAGCACAGAAAACACTCTTTTCCAGTTGTCATATTTTGAAATTTTCTGGCATATTTTCACATATTTTTTCAGTTTTCCAGTACAGTATAATCCTTAAATTACAGATAAGCTCATACTATCTATTTCTATATATCTGCTGTCTTCCTGTCATATTATATCTCTAGTGACTGAGAGACTGAGCACTCTGCTAATGGCAAAGGAGACATTGAACACTTACTGAGCCAATGGAAAGCCTAATATGATGGATGGTGTTATTGAGTGTCGTTTTCCTCTATACCTGCAGGAGAAGAAAAAAGTCTCACCTGCCTTCAGTCTTTAAATTGGAATTGATAATTATTCCTCCTCATTTTTTCAGTTTCTAGTAGAATGCTGCACATCAAAGTGTGCTTCAGCTCCCTGACAGCAATTTCCTGTTTGGTTCCAGGAACTTCAATAATTCACAACACAAGAGATTTTAAATAATTGTGTTATTCCTTTGGATATTAATCCCAAGAGGAAGGAGTCGTGTTGGGAAAACATCTTATAAATGCCTTGGTTTAATTGTGTTGTGATTGGGAGAGTATTTCAATATCTTTTGTGAACACTATCATGAACTTATTATATTCAAGAATGTTCAGATGAAACCTCAATATTTTTCTCACATACCTAATCTGTGACCAGAGAGTTTACAAAATAGTAATTCTTAAATCTTGTTACATTCTGAGCTATATGGTAAGGTACTGTTCTTGGATGGTGTGAGAAGACCTGTCAGAAAATGTTCTCTTAGCTGAGACCTGCAGTGTGAATCAGCAGATAGTGTAGGGAAGGAATAAACAATTACCCAGCAGAGGTATTTGCACGTACACTGTGCATGGTGGAAAGGAACTCAACATTTTTAAAGAATTTAGAGCTGGGCCTGAATGCAGAGTCTCTTAGGTAGAAGATTTTGTCCTGAGAGCTGCTCCCAAGTAGCCACACAGAGACTTAATCTTAATTATAAAAACTTGGTCAATAGCTCAGGCTTTTTACTAGTTCAATCTTACATTTTCAATGAACTCAAATATTTTATCTACCCTTTGGTGCATTACTTGATATCTTTTCACTCTATAGCATGGGTTTCTTTTTTCTCTCTGTGCCAGTTTGCTACATTTCTCTCTCCATCTTTTCCTCAGCATTCTGTTTATTTCTCCCTCAATTTTATCATGTCAAGATGTTGGTCAGTCAGCTTCTTTATTAAGCCAATCACAGTGACATACATTCACATAGTGTAAGGGAATAGTCTATAAGTATTGTCAGTTGCTTAGGAGTCTAAGAGAGTAGAATCACAAATGTAGACTCTCCCGAATGACAGAGTATATTCAAGGTTGACTGTGAAATAGTCCTTCTGTACATTGAGAATATGTATTAATCTCATTGGTTCATAAAAAGTGTGACAGGATGGTAGCCAGACAGGTGTATAGGCAGGACAACAAGACACAGAATACTCTGGGAGAAAGAAAGACAAAATCAGGAGATGCCAGTAAGTCACTGAGTGAGCAGGACATGTAGAATATGAGGTAACAAGCCATAAGCCACATGGCAGAGCATAAATAAGAAATATGAATTAATTTAAGTGTAACAGTTAGCAAGTAAAAAGCCTGAGCTATCAACCAAGAATTTGTAAGCAATATTAAATCTTTGAGTGGTTATTTGGGAACTGCAGGCAGCTATAAAGGTTAGTATAGGAAACCTGTTTAGATCATGTATCAAAATAAAACATTAAAATGCATAGGGAATACTCTGGTTTCTCTTCAGATCATATAAATCTTTCAACTTTTAAAATGCAAAGCTCATTGTATGTGTACTTATTTGTAGTGTGATTGCTTATCATGTGGAAGCCCACAGGTTTGATTCCTATAGACAGATGGGTCAGTGGTTAAGAGCACTGCCTGTTCTTCTAAAGGTCCTGAGTTTAATTCCCCGCAACCACATGGTGGTTCACAACTATCTGTAATGAGATCTGATGCCCTCCTGAGGAAGAGACCTTGTCAGTCATCCTTACCAACTTATACCATGAAACCCAATACAGACAAGTTCAACAGAACTGCCATAAATGGGCTGCCCATGCATGCTTCAACATTGCCAGGGCACAAAGTCCGTTTCCATCTCAAAGAAGGGGATTTTAGGAGTTATAGGAAGAGAAGTCTGAGTAAGATAATGCTTGAGAGAGAGAGAGGACAGCCAATGATTACTGAAGGTCCCATTGTTCATGTTAAACAAGTTGTCTATGAATTTAGGAGTAGGTGAAAGGCTACTATTTTAGGTAGGTGTGTCCCAGTACAGAGTGGATGAGAAAGTATATGAAAAAATGATTACTTCTACAGTACAATATATAGTTCTTGGGAAAAGATGTCTATTGAAATAGTCAAGTAAAATCCTTGAATTCCAGACTTTTCAGACACGTGGTCAGGAATAAACAATAGCTATTAGTACAGAGAAGAGTCATCTTCAGTGTATATGGGTAAAGAGTCAAGTAGCCTAACATGATGTTACCAGAGAAGACTTATATTTCCAGATAAGAAGAATAAAAGAGTCTGTTCAGGTTGTAAATAAAATAACAAAAAATTAAAAAGAGAAAGTGATTTGTACAAAATGAAATGAAAAGTTATAGGAATAAAGCCCAATGAGGAGAAGCCTAAAGCAACTGTAGGTAAGAAGAAGGACCATGAAGGAGGTGAAGATAAGACTACAAAATCCAGTGAACTAAGGAGGATAAACATAAGGGTTAGATATTTTAGGAGATAAAGATAGCCGCCTATTCTAGTTGGTAAATTTTGTTCTATTGTGCAAAGACAGATGAACATCTGAAATAGGATCCTGTTTATTTCCACAAAGTGTAAATTTTAATCATTCTAACACCCCTAGTTCCCATTTGATCTACAAAACGATCACACAGCAGTCTAACTCAGACAAACTCAGAATGCTTCCACAGAGCAATTGCAAGTGCCTGGCAAGGAGTACAGTGTGCTAACTGGAAACTCATTGCTTTTCTTAGAAGTAGTGTTTCTCAGTCGCCCTGCTTCCTATTGCTCAGATTCTTCCTGAACACACTCCACTGAGGTTGGGAAATAATTCAGAAAGAGTGGACTGACAATATCTAAGAGGAATGTTGTTGTATTAAAAGAAGCTATCTCACTACCTTGAAAAAAAATCACGTGGCCTGAAAACAGGAAACAGCTGAAAAGATGGAGCTATAAATCTCTTCTAGTGTGTTTCAAAAGTACAAATGTACTCAAGTCTCAAGTTATATAACCTACAGACCCTTCCATTATGCAGAATTAAAGCCTAAACATGCTGAAAATGTCATAATGAAGGCCATGAGTTTGTAGGATAACTTAAAACTAATTTTAAAAGAAACTGCAAGAAACCAAGGAATGTTGAGAGTCGGAGAAATAGTCTCCAGGAAAAAAAACAATTGGTTTTCCAATTGCAAATGGTAATCCCTGATGAATATGCATACTAAGGAACACTATATAGACTGTACAGGTTATATTTAGGAATATACATGTATGTAATTTGCATACATGCATGTAACAATTATCTGTGAAAAGAGACATCAGAAAAGTGAATGAGAAAGGAGGGGTATATACAAGAGTCTGAAGGGAGGAATGGGAAG